TATGTATGAAAATACAGTATAACATAAATGAGAAAATAGCGTAACATGGACTCCTAAAAAGGAAAAAGTAGCATTTCTTCAATTCTGTTAGCATCTCCACAAAATGACACATTCACTGTAAATATCATATTGTGAGAAATGGTTCTATCCCTATTGATAACCCTCCAGAACTTTGGCTCCCAGACAGAAAAAAGAGGTGCCAAAAAGCTGTTGCATAACTCCAATGCTTTTCTTCAATAAATCTAATAAATCTAACTCTTATCTCAATGCAACGTGAAATTTCCCATAAAATTACACAATTTCAAAAACTTTATGTCCTCCATTATTTAAAAAAACAGTAAAACTTTCTGGAATTTGCACGTCCTCTGCATGTTTCTGTTTTTCAGTCCAACAAAAGCATCAAAGACCTCAATTTTGTGCCTAAAAGTTTCACAATGCAGTATTGAAAATATTTGAAAATTGTATTACAGTCTTCTATTAACTAGGAAACACTCCACTTCATGATGTCATGTGGTAATACAGGAAGTGCTTCACTGTGTTTTTAAACTCCACACACCTTCAGTCATTTGGATCATTTCAGCCCATGGAATTCCCAACCTTTACTGAACTAAAAGTAGCTGTTAACTGGGGATGTAACAAAAACTGAAATATCGTGATATCGTATCGTCAAAGTTCTCACAATATATTATCGTGGGTTGTCAAAATATATCGAATTAGACGCTTCTTTCACTTAAATATGATCTTTTGTTCCATTTCAATGCAAAAAAACATGAAGAAAGAACTGTTATAACAACTTGTAAGAACCTTTATCTAAATTCTTTGGACTATGGTGATAATATCACCCCAAGTCAAGGCTTTTAAAACAGAAAAAGTTGTATTTCTTCAATTCTGTTAGCATTTTTTTTAGCTTTTTTATTGCTACTTTTTTTAAATTGCAATTTATTTAGAAGTTTATTATTATTATTTATTTATTTTTTTGACTCTTTGTTATTGTAATATATTGTTATGTGTGAGATACTGTGTCCAAGTCATTTCCATTGTGGATCAATAAAGTTTGCCTAAGTCTAAATCTAAGTAAGTCTATCCACAACACTGCAATAAATATCGTATCGCAAAATGAATATTGTAATTGTATCGTATCGTGCGATTTACATATTGTTGCATTCAAACTGTTAACTACAGCTTCATGACATCACAAGATGGAACGGAGTATTTTGCGTTTTGGAGATGCAGACAGACTAAGACTACGTTTACACTGAAACAACTGTATCACCATATCAGGAAAGATTTGTGTCCAGACACGTCGTTTCTGTGTCCGCAAGTCTTCCCTATCCACACAGGTTTGAGCATATTTGTTTACATTTTACAGAAACGAAACTTGAAACCACACAACTAAGCGCTCAAAAAAAAAACCAAACAGTTCGCTATAGTGCACTGATGCGATTCAGCTTCTGTTGGACTAAAAGACATGTTTCTGTGACAGAGGGGTGTTCTGCTGATGGTGAGTCTGTTCTGTGCTTCTATCGTGTTGGAGACGGTTCATGTTAAACTTTTCAGAGATTATACATCCGCAGGTCGCACACACAGACCGTATATATGAATGGACATATATTCTAGCCTCGTTTGTTTCGTGAATTACTTCGCGGCGCACAGACCTACATCAGCGTATCAGCGTTTCTGGGCGTCCACACTGGGTCAGATGCGTATTCTGATGAATTCGAGGGAGCAGATCGTTCCGTTTCTGGAGCGGTTTTCAATTGTATTAGTGTGGACAAACACGAAAAAACGAAAACAACTTGAATACGAACTAGTGTGTACAGGGCCCAATAATCTAGTAACAACATCCTAACATGGCTTAACTCTTTCCCCCTGGACGCCTACTAGGACCAACCCATACATATGTTACTAGGGCTACCCATAGAGCATAATTGCATAAAAGAAAACAGACTTCCACGAGTGATTTCAGGGCAATTTTGGTTCATAATCGAGTATAAAGCCCGGATAGTTTGTTCGGATATCGCAGGACTCCACACAGACGCATCAGCGGCGTTCTCACCTTCGTAAGTTTCACTCTCTGTAAGTCCGTCGCTATCGCTGTTTTCCACTTTATAATCACCCTCATCATCACTTTGAAATCTACAAAAGTCACTTTCTCTAAACTTATCCATAAAATACGTCCGCTCCTCATTATTTCTAAAACTGTGCGCCGTGTGTTTTTTCCGGAAGCTACAATCATCACTACTTCGATTAACTTCAGAAAAAATCGGCGAAAACATATCCTTGAATCCTAATGGTCAGCCTAGTGTGGGTTGTAGTGGCCCCCACCTATCACAGTCTCTGTTTAAATGTGAAAAACCGAGCCATTTCTAGAGGTCGTCAAATCACGTCTTTAGTGATACGGCGGAGGTGTCAAAAGTCGTCATTAAGGGTACAGGGGGGGTCGTCAAATGTCGTCTTCATGGGGGAAAGAGTTAAAGGTCAAAAGAGTCAATTCTGCATAATATAGGACGTTTAAAGAACTATACAAAAGTAATCATTGCTTTGTGCTCGCAGCAGTTATAGCTCCTTTAAAGAATACACAATCTTGGCAGAATTTCAACTAAACCGACAAAAACGACCGTGAAGCCAAGAAACATATTGAATAACTATTTTGGGCCTCTTTGTAATTCACTGGTGAGATATTTGAAATGAGGTCACGGTTGTGTTTTTTGGCCCGGGTCAGGGGGAGGTGAAGAGTTGCGTCTGACCCAGAGGACAGAGCAGATAACACAAAATAACAGCGAAAATGATCCTTGTTCCTGTAGCGGAGAGAGGCATGTCTGAACAGTGAGCTCATCTGTGGATTTTCTGTCCCCATATTCAGACAGGCGTGTTAAAGTTTCATAAACAAGAAAATAATACTGGAATTTTGTAAGAGGGAGTTTAATGTTGTGTAGTATTCTGATTGTTACATCATCGAACATTTTATTGTAAATTCAGCACTATAATTTTTATGGGTTTGTTATGAAAACAGTTTTCACTTTTCTATAACTGCCAATAAGCGCAGCCAATATTGACAAAAATGAATATCTCGATTTAATTTTATAATAATAATGATATTAGTCTTGGGCTACGTTCAGACTGCAGGGATTTATGCAAATTTTTTTGTGAAATCAGATTTTTTTTTGTGAAGTCCCTCACTTTTCCAATTAAATGCGACTTGAATGTGATCTCCAGTGTGAAGTTTAAATGCCTCAAAAGAGTCCCGCATGAGCATTGGAGGACACGACGACGTCACACACAGCGAGCGTGCTCAGTGTTTGCGGAAGTCGCCTAAACGCTGGGCTCGTCTCTCAAAATCTGGTCCAGTTCTTGATAAAATGGACAAGTTACATGTCCACGGCCGCTTCATTCTTTGAGTCTTTAACCTCTTGCAGGTTCTTTATTTATCATTGACATTGGAGCCATGACTGACTGTAGCAGCGCTCGGACATTTCTTTGGCAATCATTTCAAAAAAAACCCTCCAATTTGGCCTGAATACAGTGATCCCCCCAAATATGAATGAAATCGTTAACCTCGCTTTCCCTCCATTGACTAGACTCTGAGCCTGACGTGTAGGTGGGATGAATGTGACCTGACCGTTCAGACTGAAGTCTCACGTCAAAAGATCAGATATGTATCAGTTTTAGGATTTAGGATTCAGATTGTCATTAAAAGTTCAGGTACAGGTCAGCTGGAGGCGGAAAAAAAAAAAAAAATCAGATTTGGGTCACTTCAGGCTGCAGTCTGAACGTAGCCTTATAAAGTGCTTTTCCACACGCACAAAGCAGAGCACTATTCATTCACCCGTTGCCAAATATTTAGAACTCATTTTTGGGCTCGGGTCAGACTCAACATCAGCGCGATAGGACATGACTGGGCCTGGCCTCTTGTGCTAACGTGCACTTGTTGCTCCATGTGCGTGGGCTCATCTGTGTTGACGTTCTGAATGCCTTTCTTCAGTTGATTGCGTTGAAAGTCAGATTTTATCAAACAATATGATATGTGTGTCTTTAGTAGGCCTATCAAAATAGTACGATTTTAACTGTGTCGTGTTCGGTCGGACTCTGACACAATGCCTTTTTGGGCTCAGTTCGGATTCGATCACTGCTCTGTCAGATGAGGACAGAAAAAATAATCCTGATCTACATTCTACTCAATTTGCACTTTTTTTTTGACATTTGCACTTTTTAGTATATCATCTATCAGCTTTAAATCTCCAGCTCAGGCTACAGATATTTAGTTTTGGCCGTCCTCCTGCCTAAAGAGCACACACAAAGCTTTACACTGAAACTTCGGTATAAAAAGATAACTGCACAAAATGTGACTACACTGCTCTCTTATAGGTTTGTGGTAAAAAAGAAGGACTGTGGGTGACTTTGAAGTAAATTTACACAGATAATTTGGGGGAAATAATCAAAATCGGCCCTGTAAAATCAGCCCACGCATATCGGTCATGGTTTGCTCTAGATCAGGGGTCTGCAACTTTTTTCATCCTGTGAGCTACTTTTTGTCAAACGAAAATGCCGCAGACTACTAATTTTAGTGGACCCCAGAAATGTTGTAAATATGAGAGTCTTGGTAAGCCGAAAATGAGGCACAGTAAGACATCTATAAAACATAACCCATTATCTAGTTATCAGGGCACAAAATTAGGCATAAGAATTATACATTTACAAATAAAGTAGCCATTTAATCAATCAAATTTGAGTTATTCAGGCGCAGTATGTATAATTCAGAAATCCCTTGGTGAGCTACTTGGAAGGGGTGGAGAACTATTTGTTGGGGAATCCTGTTCTAGGTTCTAAAATCTCACCGTGAAAAAAAAAACATCAATTGTGTCTGGTACATTTCTCTCTTTTTGAATACCTTTTAATTGCATATCTCTAAACAACTATTTCAATATTATACGCACACATCAAGCTCAAAAGAACAGAGGCCTATGCGTTTAACAATGTGCAGTGCCTGTGTGTGGACTTACCCAGAGCTTGTTGTCATGGTAAAAGGCGTCCAGCAGTTTGACGATGTAGCGGTGGTCGCATTTGGCCAAAATGTCGATCTCCACCATGTAATCCTCCAGCTCCTCCTCCGACTTTGTCTCTATCACTTTAGCAGCAGCGAGCACTCCGGTCTCCTTGTTTTGGGCCTGGGAAAACAAATCAGAAAACACTTAAAACTTGTACAAAATTGCCAACTTTTTCATGCGTTCATTATTTTTGGACACGTTATTGGTTGAGAAACATATTTTAAACAGTCTAAAAGTAACAAAATCAATGTGCAAATGTGTTTTTACTTAAGATTTAAAATAATATTAGCCAAATAAAAATGGAGAACAAGTTAAAAAATAGCAACCAGTCATGTGATAATAAGGTTTCTCAAAGTAACGTTTCAAAACAAAAAAGGGAAGAGAGCACCACACCCATATGAAACAAGTGTGAAAAAGTAACCACAAAAGCCACAAAATAACCCATTATAGCATTCGAGCAGAAGTCAACGCACTAAAATACAAGTCAACTCAATGTCCGCGAGTGGAAAGCAACAAAAGACATATGTAGTGTGACGTAAGAGACTGGCCATTGTGAAAGTTTATGAGACAACAATAACGTTACGCTGTCTGACTGTGGGCAGACCATATGTTTAATGCAAGACCTGAGGCATGCTTCCTAAATGAAAACAAGCTGCGCTGCATTCTGGAGTTTAGTTTAGACATAAGGGTTCAATTATTCATAGAACAGGTGGAGGTGCACAGGGGCTCCCAGACTTTACAGACAGCCAAAGTGAGGAATGGAATGTGAACTGGCTCTAATGTGATTTTTGTAAATAAAAAACAAATAAATAAACATGAATAGAAATATAATAAAATTAAATTAAATAATAAAATAAAACAAAAAAGGGGGAAAAAATTTATAAAAATGAAATAAAAAATAAAAAATCTAAAAAATAAAATACAATAAAATATAAAATAAATAAATAACCTAAATACAAATACAAAAAATTAAAAATGAAATAAAAATAGAAAAATATAAATAAAAATAACAATAAAATATAATATAAAACAATACAATTAAAATAAAATAAAATAAATAATACAATTTTTAAAAATAAATAAAAAATGAAAAAATAAATAAATAAAATATAAAAATATAATACAATAAAATTTAAAAATAAAATTTAAAAAATAACGTAAATACAAATAGAAAAATAAAATAAAAAATAAAAATGAAATAAAAAATATAAGAATAGAAATAAAAAAATACAAATATAATATAATATAATCCAATACAATTAAATAAAATAGAAACTAAATAATAAAAACTAAAAATTAAATAAAAATGAAAAAAATAAATAAAATAGAAATAAAATTTTAAAAATAAAAAATTAAATATAACACAATTAAAACAACATAAAATAAAATAACAAACATTTTAATTAAAATTCAATTTGAGTCTAATTTATTAAGCACTACACGAGCACTAGAGCATGAACAGCCTAAACTAGTTATGAATTGACAAAAATATATGCTATAGAAAATAACAGAAATATACTAAATATCCAAAGTCACAGACAGTGTTCAAATTTCCTTGACAGTTTTAAAAGTGGAATTTTAAGTCAGTCGTTCATTCTTTTGCTATGACATACAACTGGAATGTGGACGAAATGTCTTGCTCAAGGACATAAAGACAGCATGAGCGCAAACTACCAACACCTAACCCTTCTTCTCATGAACCTCTCCAAGGCTGTATTTACCACAAAAGATAATATAATTAAACATGTCCCATTATGTTGTTGGTGGTGTCTTGGGCCAGACTAAACACAGACTGTAGGTGTGTGCTCGTCCCATTTTAGGGAGATAAACGCTCTGCTCGGCATGAGACCGTTCATTACATTCACAATTTCACGATTAGGCAACGGGATTCTTTTTATTTTTACATTTATGTTGTCAGTTTCTTTAACAGAGGGCACTGCACCTGGTTTTCAACATAAACAACAGAACTCATTTGCAGTAGTAGTAATAGTAACATTAATAGTAGTAGTAATAGCAGCTATTCAGTCATTCTTTGTCCCTGGACAGTTAGAGTGAACAGCATGTCCTTCAGTCCTGTCTCTCTGCTGTCCCCATCTCTGCTGCTCCCTGTCTCTATGCCCCCTGTCTCTATGCCCCCTGTCTCTATGCCCCCTGTCTCTATGCCCCTGTCTCTATGCCCCTGTCTCTATGCCCTCCTGTCTCTATGCCCCTGTCTCTATGCTCCCTGTCTCTCCTGCCCCCTGCTCTCCGCTGCCCCCTGTCTCTCCGCTGCCCCCTGTCTCTCTGCTGCTCACTGTCTCTATGCTGCTCACTGTCTCGCTGCTGCTCCCTGTCTCGCTGCTGCTCCCTGTCTCTATGCCCTCTGTCTCTCTGCTGCTCCCCGTCTCTCTGCTGCTCCCCGTATCTCTGCTGCTCCCTGTCTCTATGCCCTCTGTCTCTCTGCTGCTCACTGTCTCTATGCCCCCATCTCTCTGCTACTCACTATCTCTATGCCCGCTGTCTCTCTGCTGCTCCCTGTCTGTATGTCCCTTGTCTCTCTGCTGCTCCCTGTCTCTCTGCTGTCCCCCGTCTCTATGCCCTCTGTCTCTCTGCTGCTCCCTGTCTCTATGCCCCCTGTCTTTCTGCTACTCATTGTCTCGATGCCCCCTGTCTCTCTGCTGCTCCCTGTCTCGATGCTCCCCATCTCCAGGCCCCTCATCTCCTCGCTCCCTGTCTCTATGCCCCTGTGTCTCTTCGCAGCCCCGTCTTTCTGCAGCTCCCCGTCTCCGTGTCCCGATCTCTCTGCCCACTGTCTCTTTCCCCGTCTCTCCACTCTCCCATCCCTGCACCCGTCCGCTCACAGGACCTACTTTCACCTGCGTGTGAATCTTCATCTCTGTGCTACTCATCACACCACCGTCCCAACATGCTCAGCACAAACATCACTCTGCGATGACACAAATGTCTACAAAGGGAGTCTCAAGATTTATGTGCAAAGTAAGACTCAACAAAACAACCAAAAATCAACAACAAAATCTTATAACATCTTCTGCATGAACGCACACCACTCCATAGATCTGACTTAGCTTTGTGGCACCACCTGTTTGTCTCTAGAGAAGTTTAATGCCATACTGCAGAACACTAAAACAATAAGGTCTCAATTAATGCTGACAACTAGCATGCTAACAGCGTTTTTTCTGATCATCTGACAATAAAAAGCTTCATATATTACTTAGAAATATTACAAGGCTGACTTTTTATTTAACTCAAGAGCTGTTTATTTTATATATCTGTACAGGGCTTTTAAGATTTGTTGTTTGGATACACTTTGAACTGAATTAAAGGTGCATTGTGTAACTTTTCTGGTGGAGGTCCGTCACCTAGATATGCTCTGTCTGGAATGTTCCACAGTTTGACAATAAATAGCTCTACGTTGTAACAATAACTGAAATATCGTGATATCGTATTGTCAAAGTTCTCACAATAATATCGTGGAGGATCACAACATATTGAATTTCAAGTCTCTGTGCTTAAGGGAACTACATAGACCATGATCCTTTGCTTCATTTCAGTGCAGACTACACAAAGAAATAACAGTTCTAAACACTTTTAAGTCTTAGTTCTTTGGATTAACTCTTGTCAAGGCATTTTAAGAGGAAAAAGTTGAATATTCACAGTTTTATCTGTTTAGCTTCAACAAAATATCGCACTAAATATCGTTCTGTGAGATGTATATCGTGAAAATATCGTACCAGGAGATTTGGATATAGTTACGTTCCTAATAGTGAGCCTCCCCACCTTATCGTGAGCTTTCCCACGATATCGCAATAAATACTTTACCGTGAGGTTCATACCGTGACAATATCGTATCATGAAACTGGGATATTATAACACTACTACTATCTTACATTTATTCAATTACAGGTGGTTTTATAGCTCAAAAGTACATCGAAAAATAGGCATCAGCAGAGATCTGACCTGTAACTTGGTCTGGTTTAATATCCATGAAGATAGAAAGGTTTAATGCCATACTGTGAAACATTCCAGACAAAGCAATAACATCTCCATGGAGAAAAGCAAAAACGAAGCCTCTACCGCGCAACGCACCTTTAAGTGAAAACAACAGTATTAGGATTTGCATTTGCAGTAGTGGATGTAGCAGTAGTAACATAATAAACATGTTTTAATTTCTTGGTTGATCAAATTTAACTGCAGACTAGCAAATGAGTTGTATTGTTGCCGTTTTCATAGTAACTCAGACTGTCTGGATTCTAGGTCGTTACAATGGCAGCATGTCCCCGAGCTGAACCGGACATTCTTCACCTTTTATTGGTCTCTGCCCCAGTCAAATTCTGAAAAAGTCACAGTTCAAAAATTCACATCCAATTTCTGAAAAAAAAAAAAAAAAAAAAGCTCCAGACTATTTATAACGCAGTGGCCTTGGCCGTCAAACTCTAAAACTTCATTCATCTGACTAAAAATTAACCTTGCGGCAATTGACGTCTGTTAATGTATCATGCGTTGACGTCTTGACAACTTCAATTTTTTATGTATATTTATTTAGTAGATATTTGGTCCCAAGTTAGAAGAAAATGTCCAGACATGCTGTTAAATATTACCATCACACTAAAACCTAAGAACATTATGCATTCTTGTGATTTTTAACTGTTTTTAAACACGTTTTTGGTCACCTTGGGATCACATTCTCCAACAAAAATACTGCCCCCTCTGTTGTCGGCGATGGGAATTAGCATTTAGAAAAGTAAACAAATGAATGCCTTATCATACACGAATGCTCTGCTAACAGAGGCGTGAGTTTATTGTGTACACAGTTTGACCGCAGAATGAGTCCGGTGAAGATTTGTGGGCTTAAAAATTGCACAGGGGAAGTCAGGAGTTTAATCTATGACGTAACAAAACTGACAAAATGCAAACAGAGCATTTTTGAGGCTCAGAGAAGCTGACTTTGGGTTAAAGGATGAATGAAAACGAACGTGAATGAAAAAAAACGCAACTCCAGGTATGTATGGTGAGGCGACGATGGTATAAAGTGGTTAAAAGGTCAAGAAGAGTCTATTTTCTTTGACATGCCGATTTAAGTGGACATTTTAGTTGGGGTGACTGGATTTTCAAAATAAAAA